AGGCAGAGCCTTGTAGAGGGAGATCGAGTCAGTGGAGTTGTGCCCTTGGAGAGAAACCAGGATCTCAGTCCCTTCTCGCAGCTCTCTTTGCGTCCTGACCACCATGAACTAAGCAGCCTCCTCTAGCACTCACTTCCTGCTGTCTCCAGCTTTCTCACCCCACCCGCGATGGAGCCACAGAAACATGAACTGGAACCCCAAGACTGGGGGCCAAAATCAACCTTTTCTCTTATGAAGTGGGTTTATCTCAGGTATTTGTCACAGTAAGGGAAAGCTGGAAAACAGTGTCCCAGATGCTGTGACTGCCAAGGTTCCCCTGAAGTTCACACTGCAGAACCACGGCCTAGTGTTCTTTGGAGTGTGAAGCCATATATTTCCTTGTGCTGGAAGACGAGGCAGAAGCCCCTCCCGCACCAGGCAACAGGTCTTCCGAAACCCATATGCTGAAATCCTAGCTTCACGATGAGAGAATTAAGTGGGTGAAAGAATCAACACCTCCTTTGGGAGGTGTTATGGTTTTGATACAAAATGTCCCCCTCCCTCATGTTAGGTACTGGAGCCTGTCTGGAGAGGAGGGTCGCTGGGGGGGTGACCTGAAGGGTCTGTTCTTGCCCCACATCCCTCTTTCTCTCTGTTTCTGATTCCTGGCCACCATGGAGTGTGCAGCTTCCCTCCACTGTGCCCTTCCACCGTGCCTTTTTAGTTTGGAGTCTGCTCATCATGGATTGAACCCACTGAAAACTGTGAGCCAAAATAAACCTCTCCTCCTTTACGTTGTCTCCCAGATGAGAAAGCTGACTAATACTGGAGGCATGAGGCCAGGAGGGCAGAAGTCATCATGAATAGGATCAGAGGCCTCATAACAGGCCCTAGGGACCCCCTCACAGCTCTAATCACATTAAGCAGGTACTGCTTGAGAACCAGGAGGCAGCTTTCAGCAGACACTAATCTGTCAGCGCACTAATCTTGGACTTCCAACCTCTAAAAATAAGAAAAGTGGCACTCTGACGTTTTAAAATTAGTTCCATGTTTCAGTTTAATCCAGTCGGTTTGTAGAAATTTGTCACAGCATCTAAGAACACTGCTACTAGAGACAGACTAAAACTCAAAGGATCTTCAAGCCCTACCTAGCAAGTGCCAGCAGGAGCCATGGAGTGCTCCAAGGGTTCAGTTTTTGAAGGAGGAGCTTGAGCAGGGGGTCCAGCATGAATCTTGTAAGGAAGAGCATGCTGGCTCAGGAGTTACCAATACTTCAAGGACCCCTGGGGACTGTGGAGGAAGCCAGGCCAAGGCAGAGAGGGCGGAACTACTGTGGGGAGCAAAGGCATAAGAGTGGGAATGCTGGGGTGGGCACAACACTCACACCCCCAAGCTCACAGCATTTCCAAGAAGTCAGAGACTCACTGGCTTCCAATGTGGGGAAGACACAGGATAGCCTCAGCCTTCAGTTCTATGTCCCAGCGACCTGTGACATGGAAGGGCACAGGAGGGGCCCTCTCTCTGTGGCACAATGAAGTGACAGCAGTCAGCACAGCAGAGGTCATATGGTCATGCCCAGGAGGGGTTCTTCTGCAGTGGCTGCCAGAGCAGAAGTGAATAACACCCTAGGGCCCCCGACCTGTGAGAGCTCCTGAGGCGGTTGGTGGAATGCAGCACCCAGAGATGGGCTCCAGGTGAAGGCTGTGGCCAGAGCAGGTGTCAGTCACAGATGGTGGTCAGACCCACTGAGTGAAGGGGGATCCATGCTGGGAATGAAGCTCCTATAACACCCGACAAACGCCCTTGGGAATGGTCCTGCCTGCTCTTCAAGGTACCCATGGCTTGGCCAAGTGACTGCCCCTGAGCAAAAGATGCTCAGCTACTCTGACAAAGTTTCAACAGATTACCTGACTTCATGTTGATGTCCAGAGCCCTAAGTGCCATCATCCTTCCTTGCGTGGGTCATTAACTAATGGACGGAGCCATTCCAAGGTCCAGCAAACTCTCTGGGGGCCCATATCCCTGGCTATCAAATCTGTAATAGGTGCCGGCCAACCTGGCTCTGGGATCAACCCTCAGAGCAAGTCCTTGGTCGATGGAGTCAGAGCTGAGGCCCAGTGAAAGCCGTCCCTCAACAACCCTGACCAAGACAGGAAATCACCAGAAAGATCCCACTGCAGAGCTTGGGGATGAAGGCGTGGAGGTTTCTCCTACAGATCCCTTCAATCAACTACTCTGACCTCTGTGAAAAATGGATGTGGACAAAGAGAAAAAGTACCACAGTCTCGGTCTGTGGACAGCCCCACGTCAGACCCCTCTCAGATGAGGCGTTGTTACTCAGGAGGGTGTGCCTGGCCTCAGGTACATTGCATATGTTCATCAACTTGACGACCAAGTTTTGCTTCTCTCTTGGTCAAACAGTAAGATGAGAAATAATCTGTTTTCCCAAGGAATTGACAAAAAAAATTCATTTATATTTTTCCCCCGGGGCTGTACTCTATACCATCTGTCCTAATGTAGTCAAACTAATCTTGATTGCCTTGACATTGATCTGTTACACTGATGCCAGTTGATCAGGCCTCGGGAATAAGAGGTGGCCGGCATCCGTTGGCCTTCCAGCAAGTACACATGTCTGAGTTGGATAGATAAATGTCGCAAGAATTCTTCAAACCCCACCCACCCATAAATATTGTTAGAAGCCACTATTTGGGGCCTGCTGGGGAAATTATCACTCTTGCCTCCCTTCTGTGGAAAAAGAGGACCACTCCATGGGGCCTGGTCAATGCTGGAGGGAACATGGTCACAGCTCAGGAGACGTGTACAGTGGGTGACCAGAATGATCCACAGGCCACTGGCTTTGCACAGTGCCGAGCAGGAAGAATGTCCTCAGAGGGTTGAGAGCATGGGACAAGAAGCCTCCCACTGAGCCACAAGACCTGACAGACTCTGGGTCACTGGAGATGGCCGTGGTGGCAAAGGGACCACATGCCCAGGGCCAAGGCTGCGAGCAGGACTCTGGAGGCCTGAGCAGGGCCTCTGGCCTGTTCTCTGCCCTCATGCACTTTTCAAACCCTCCCCTGCCTCCTCTGTGCTCTCCACCTGTGCCCTGAGGAACAGACAGAGGTCCGATTGCCCAACTCGTGCTGAGATGTCCAAGTGCAGAGCGAACTCCTGGGTGACTGTGTGGTGGATTCCTGGGGCCATCTTCATGAAAATACTTAAAAGCTGAAAGCAGCGTTCACACTAATAAAGGTGGCTAGATGGTGCCCACAGCCACCTGCAGCTGGAACCCACTGTGTTCTGCTCACAGCCAACTCCTGAGTGCTCCCTGGCATGGCCAGGTCCCCTCCCAGGAAGGGCAAGGCTGGGAGGCATGTGCTTATGAGCCCCCAATTTGGGAGTAGCGAAAGGAAGGTAAAGGAGCTCCCAGATGTTGCCTGACAGGAAGAGCTGGGATGAGCCAGGAGAGGTCGGCAGGTCTGAGGTCCTCACTCAGAGCCGCTGCTCACTCTGCACTCAGCAGTGGGGCTCACACTGCTGTCCACATCCTGGACTCAGTGTCCATTTAGGAGGACTTGGGGCACAGTTTTAAAACTTCAGTCTCATCTGGAAGTTGCCACAGTAAGGTGAACATCACAGAGCTATGTGAGCTTAAAAGTTGGGTATGTCATTATGGGCAAAACCTTTGGTATGTGCCCGAGGATTATAATTTTTAGTATCCTCATAAATGGCCATATTGTAACACATTCTTTATGAACCACCCTGTGATGGGCCACAATTAGCTTCCACACAAAACAGTGCAAGTGGAAACAGAAGTCTTCAGCCGGACTCATTATTTGGCATCTGAGTATCCTCTAAATTAGATGGCTACATCGAATTACAGTCTTATTTTCTCTTCATTTTATTTTGGCAGAGTTCCTCGCATGTGAAAATTCTTCTTGGCTTTCCTGTCTCACAGATGTCGCAGGCCTATCTCCAAAATGAGTCCAGAGACTAGAACAACACGGCACACCTGAGGGAGCCTGGCCTAGGAGCTCAGAGGGGGAGGCAGCCAGGCCTCCTGGAGAGTGCCGTGTGCCCTGTTCCTTCCCGAGTTCACACGGGCGTGCAGGTCACTCCAGGAGGCTGTCAGGTCAGTGCATGCTCCAAAGAGGAATGCAGAGCGCTTCCCACAGGACCAGGCCCGGAATCCTCGTCTGAGCTTCTTTCCTACGAAGCTGACATGTCTAAAATAACGTCATTTAAGTATTCCAACGAGAGGCCATGTGTGGTGGAATTTTGACACTCTTTATAGGACATGAAGTGTTCTTGCTCTGTCGCACTGCCCAGGACTGGTGACATGCCCTGGGGTTTTCTCCAACTTTGGGATTCTCCGAAGAAAAATTAACCATGAGAGAAAGGGAAGCAAGGAAATGGTTATGGATTGCTGGGGAATGGTTGTATGATTGATGGAGAAAGAAATTTCCACCTCTTCCTCCCAGGAGGGTCTGTGTTTAACACCAAGGAGAAAACATTGGCCAAAGTTTAAAAAAAACAAAAACCCGAAGAACATTCTGGAAGCATCCATTCCATGCCCAGTTCGGACGGAGAAGAGGTCCCTGGCCACCCCTTCCTAAACTTCGGTAAGGAGAATGTGTACTGAAGTATGACCTGTCTATCAGCCCTGTGCTGTCAAGTTGATTCCAGGTTTGAGGTTTACACAGCAGATTTTTTAAAGGGACTGGACCCCTTCTGATTTTATTGCAAGCCAGGGAACTGAGGCCACAAAAGCCTTCTTTCACAGACAGGAAGAGTTTTCACCTGAAAAAATAAACTGACAAAGACAACATTTACATACAGCCGATGATATAGTGCCCTTGGAGGAAACACGACCAGCCTGCCAGCTAATGGTGCATTTTTTTTTGTATTAAATCTTTTATTGGTACATTGTAGGTAGACAACACAATTACATTTCTCATTGGGAATTGTACCTTTACATGATGCATCTTGGTTCTTATTTTTTCCCCATTCCTAGGCCTCCCTTCACGGCCTCCACCCTTCCCTATTTACAAAGACTTTATTTACAAAGACTGCAGTTCTGGTCACGTTGGATACATAATCTACGTGCTTCCTGCCCCAGGTTCTGTGGGCTTCGCAGGAGTGATGTCCCTGGTACCTGCTGGTTCCACTGTCTGTCGGGACTGACGTTCAGCTTGGAGAAGAACAATGCTCGTGGCTCCCTGCAGATGTCCAACACAGGGCCTGGTCCACTATGTTCATATTCCTTCAAAGGCTGAAGCATTGTTTTTGTTACTTAAACTTGAGCAAAAATGAAACAGAGGGAATAGACACGGTGTAAGCCCTTGCTCAGGGAGAGCTCATGCCGGCCAGCCCCTCAGGAAAGTGACGTGGATGCTCCATCATTCCGCAGGGGATCAAATCTCTGGGAACCATGCTGGCCTGGCATGGTGTTTTGTAGACAGAATCGGCTAGTGGACGGACAGAATATGTGAAATCAGCTAGTGACACTGCCCTGCCGGAACAGGGTCTGGGTTAGCTCTAGTTGGATTTAGGGTTAAGACCAGGCCAAGGTAGGTACCAAGAAAAGGGCTCATAAATATCCAAGAGAAGTGGAACAGGGAACCTTCTGCTCTCCAGTCTCTCTGCGCCCCCAAATCCCAACCCTTTGGGGACCCCAGACTAAGAAAGGCCATGGCTGTGCCGCAGGAGGTTGTGGTCCCTCTGGGGCCAACCTGATCTCTCTTGAAAAGTTCTGCAGGATCTCACGGTCCCACCAAAAAACAGGCCACACCCTAAGTTGGCCCCGAGAGAGACCAGGTCTTGGCGCTCTGGGGGTTTCCTGCACTTCCCCCATGCAGCAGGGGAGAGCTGCAGACAGATTAGGGTGAAGCCACCAGAAGCACCTCTGTTTGTGAATTTCTATGCTAATGACGACAATGCCCAGGACTCCTGCATACGAAAACATCATGAGCCCTTTGGGAAAAGTACTGTGAGGCTTCAGCAGTCCTGGCTGGTGAGAGCTTCCATGTGCTGTGGGTGGGATCTGGGGGGAGAGAGGGCCACCTGCTCCACAGCTCTGCCCCCTGGCCCTGCCATTCTCCTCCCTGGCATTTACAGTCAGTGTGCTGTGCCCTCCACAGAGCAGCCTCTGACCCCGCAAACCTCTGCAGGCTTTCAAAGCTGACTTCAAACACGGGGGTTAAAGTCCACAGCGCATCTTTCCGAAGTGGCAACAAAGCTTTTGCTCTGTCCCTTGATCATTGGCTCACTGGTAGGAACCGTTGCTCCTTTTGACTAACCATGAGTTGTCTTTCCTGGGTAAACCAGAGACATTCCTGACAGGCTTAAAGTCATTGACACCTCCCAGGAATGCTGCCAGGGCCCGAGTGCCCCCTGCCCCTGTCTGCATGTTCCAACGCCCCCATTCCCCAAGCCCGGAGCGGATTTCTCCTTGATACTTACACGGCTGATTTACTGAAATGCACACAAGCCTGCACATCGGCAGGACAGTCCCTGACAGGGATGTGTACAATAAAACACATTTGATGTTTCCAAATAAAGAGCTTGCCTTAAATCAGCAAACGATCGGATTACTCGGACAGGTTGGCAAAACAAACCGTCCATCAGCGGTTGTCACAGGATATCTGGGAGCATCTTCCAGGGGCCTGGCAAGGGGCTCAGGAAGGCACAGAGGAGTCTTGGGGGCCGGGCCCGTGGACAGTCCACACTGAGCCTCTCTCCGTGCTTCCTGGAAAGATACTCTCGGGACCCAAACTCACCTAACTGTGCAGAACCTGTTGAACACACGTTTTATTTTAAGCTACTCCCAGCCAGTAAAGAGTAGTTTGTTCTTCCTCCTTCTCTCTCTCTCTTTCTCTCTCTCTCTCTTTCCTCTTCCTCTTTCTTTCTTCTTTCTTTCTTTCTTTCTCTCTTCCCTCCTCCTCTTTTCCCCTTTTAAAAATATCCAAAGCCTTGAAAACTCTCCCAAGAACAGTGACGTAGTTTTGTGAGTAATGTCACCATCCTTATTTTCAGAACACTAATTTAGTTAACAAGTACATTTGTGTATTTCACTGCCAAATATTGAATTCCACAGATGGATTTTGCCACTTTCTCTTTGGCACTAACACATTAACTTGACTTTAACTCTTTTTACAGGGAAGTAACTGAAGCCATGTTGTGTTTGGAGGAGGTAAATGTTCATTAGTCACGCGATTTGATGCCTCCTGCACCTTCTCCCTCTCCTTCCTTGTCCCTGCTTCAGTTTCTCTCCTATTAGCTCTTTGCAATTCCAATTTTGTAGGAGGTAAACATTTGTTGATGGAGTGAGAAATGAGAAGTGGCCTCATTTTCAGATGTGTGGGGAATCTTCCCAGCCGCATTTCCGGGTCCCTGTGCGTATGAGCGCAAGCACTGCCCCTTAGGGTGGGCGACTCCCTCTTGGACCGTCCTCAGTGAGGCCAAGGCCACCAGCCAGGCCAGGCACTGTGCGGACGCTGTGAGTGCCCGGCCTCATGACTCCAGGTGGCTCCGTCTCACTTAGGGCAGAGACGGTGAGGTGGGGATTCTAGTGGTAAAAAAGCAGAATGCTTCAGCCCATCAGCATCCATGCGGGGATCACAAGCCGCAGGCCACCCAGCCGCACTGACTGCTGCCCGCGCAGTGAGGGTCACCCAGCCACCTGCGTGAGGCTCACCCAGATTCGTCGAGACACTTGGCACCTCGAGTGTGCAGACTGTCCAACCACCAACCGTGACTCCTTGGCTTGGCCTGCAGCCGTCCCCGGGGAGCCAAGCCTCCGAGTGCTCTGGACTTCGTGTGCTAGGGTCCCAGACATGGTGTGAACCTCAGGACTGTCATGCTCATGAGAAGGTTGATAAACCGTGAGACTCACAGAGGGGTCTGGCATGTGCATCTGCCTGGACAACCTCGTGATGCTCCCGGGTAGCTGGTGACACGGCCTGCTGTGTGCACCGAGTGGGGTGAAGATCCCTGACTCAGCCGTGTGGTTCTGCGTGCAGCTGCGGGCTCGGATTCAGAGGCTGCACCCACCTGGGAGAGGGGTGCTGCCCCCCCAACGGAGCCTCATCTGCTGTGGTCCCTCGCTCTCTGGAGACAGGGTCCCAGGACGAGGGTCTCAGGGTGCCGGGCCAGCACAGCCTCAGGACCCCCCCGTAGGCCGTTCTGCCTACAAACATGCAGGCAAAGGTGCGGTGACACGTTGAGGATGTAAGCAGTCTCCGACATGGTGAACATGTGCAACTTTTGGTCATTAATTCAGGTTTTTCAGTGACTTCGATGAACTCATTTGATTGTCAGATCTGGTTCCAGTTTTGAGGGAAAGATCATTTCAGCAAGCTCTAGTCAAAGGGCAGCATCTCTCAAGACTCAGCTTTATTCAGTCACCACTGCTCGCACAGGCAGAATCAAGCTCAAAGTAGACTGAAGTTAAAATAAAAACTGAGAACCTTGCAGCAATCCAAGAGGCTTTGCGGGGGTTTCCTTTGCTCTTCCTCTTTTCTCCGTTTCCTAGTGGGGTCTCCGGAGCACCGGTCCTGGGGCCCTGTGCTCAGCCTCTGCTGGCCTTGACCTCATTCCTGTTCCAGCATGGACCTGCCGGGCCACCCTGCATGTGCTGGGCATGTGGATTTGAACCCTATTCTCTGCGGCTGTCTAGGCTTTCAAAATGAATGCTGCTGGTTTCAGAGAGCAGTAGAGAGGTTTCAAGGAGGATTGGTGCAAAAACTGCCATGTGCCTCCGAGTAGCCTGTGCAGAGATTCTGTCCCCAAAAGTGGTCTCAGGCTTACCAGCCCCTCGGGCTCCAAGGATGCGGGCCATGCTTTGTCCTGGGGACACACTGCTGTCCCTCTCCATGCTTGCGATTTGTTTGCTCCTCCTCTTCTCGTCAGTCTCTGCTTCTAGAATCCAATCCAACAGTGAAGAAAGTTAAGCAGTTTGCTGTTTTTTTAGGGGAGTGGGGCTGGTGGCTGGCACTTAATAAATGTTCACTAAACGCAGGACTATCACGGAAACAGCGATCGCAGCTTAAACGCAAAGTAACCGAGTCTCCAGGAGACTTATCTTAGCATAAAAAGACAGAAAGCTATTTTAACCACCAGGCTGCCTGTGTTTCTTCGAAGAGAGGGGAGGTATTGAGGAGAAGGAGAGATAAAGAAGAGGAAAGGACAACAGAGGCAGAATTGACAGCCCTGGGCAGGCCCGGGCACTGCTGTCCACCGGTGTAAACTGCTTACCTGATGTGTCACCGCCCCTCTCAAAGATGGGCTCAGAGCTCACAGGGCTGCTCCAATCAAGCCACCATCTGTGCTGGTTATCTTGGCCCAGCGGAGTTGCTGAGGACCACTTCCCAGTTCCTGGAGTCTTCTTTATTACTAAAGGTTTAAAATATCACCTCATCCCCACACTGCAGCGCACTGCAGTAATGCAGCCCTTTCTCCTGGGAAAGCCAATCTCATGGCTCTGACTGGACTCCCTGAGGCCCTGCAGGGCTTTGTGTGGGGAGTGGCCCCTGGAGAGTGACGTGGAGGCTGGGCAGGGACGCTCAACACTCTTTCCTGAGGCCAACAGGGCATCTAGGGGCCGGGTCTCCTTGCCCTCATGGGCAGCTTGGGTCCGTTGTGGTCAGATTTGTGCCTGCCATCTGACAGGCTGGTGGCATCCCTTTCTTAGCCATGGCCCAGGAGGTTCGGTGGTTTTGCCAGAATAGGGACCCCTGCCCTGATACCAACAAGCCTCTGCTTCTGTCCTCTGCTTCCCCTGTGAAGGAAGAGAAGAGGATGGCTCAGACTTGCTCCACCTGCCCTTGAAGGTGATGGTCCTCCAGGCGCGGGCTGTGAGGCCCACGGGTCTCCAGGGGTCCCAGGATCAGACGCAGAAGTCTGTTTGCCACGTGGAGGAACACACTTCAGGACAAAACATGAGGATGTTCTCCATCTGAAAATGTTCATAATTAACTAAAAATCTTCGCATTGTGCCTACATTGTCCATGTTAGAATTAAGTGCACATTCATATCAAATTTACCACAAATTTAGAGACCTCATTAATTCACATTTAGTGTATTGATCAGGTAGAGTTTTGCGACTAAGCTATCTGTGCAGTGCTTCAAAGGATGCAACACAGGCCAGCTAACCCAGAAAGTCTTGTCACCTCGTAGGGAGGAAGAGAAGGAGAAGGGGATAAGAAGAGGAAAGAGCAGAAGCAGGCGGGGCCCAGGAGGCAGGTTCCTCAGTCCGAGAGAGTGGAGATGAAGGACAAAGGAGTCAATGTTTCAAAGGGTTTCAGGTAGGATTCTGAAGGTGAGAAAAAAGTGTCCATAATGTTGAACTGACCGTGCAGGATGCAGTACTGTGAGCCTTCACCTCAGTTTCCTCCCTACTGGGCAGATTCCTATCCTGTGTTTAAATTCCATCACTCCCTCAACCCACAATAGCCCTGCAGGTAACCCTTAACATCCCCATGGCAACACTCTGTTGCTCTAACACTTGAGACTTTATCTTACTTGACCCTTCATATAATGCCTTGTGGAGACACGGGCTCAATCTTTATGGATGGGAGAACTGAAGGGCAAGAAGGACAGCTCTGTGCCCCAGGTCCACAGGAAGCTCAGGGTGAGGCTGGACTGAGGCACAGGACCGCCCTCGGGATGTCTCGGAGGGAGTGGGGTATGGGCGCGCTTTGTCAGCCCAGGAGCCAGACAGCGGTGCTGGGGGGCTGCAGACGCAGGAGCTGTGTGTTTCCCCAGAGTTTCCTCGCAGAGCTTTTGGTTCACTTTCCCCATTTATCCCACTTCCTTCTCAACCTATTTTTTGTGAATTACAGATATGTAATTAAGTGGTCTCCTGGGAGACATTCTCAGGGAATCTTGAAGGTGCTTTATTAATTCCTGGAAAGAGACCTACCTACGTGAGATTTGAAGTCCTTCCACTTCACCACCATCTGACTGCTTCTCAGAGCGTGGCTGGCGATGAATGTCCCAATTAGCAGGTCAGTAAATGAAGCAGGGGACTGGAAATGTAAAACACATATGAGCCTGCTAATGTCTCCCTGCCAGAATGCCAACCAGGGATTAAAATTAAAACTGCTTCCAAGAAAAGACCGGAGTCCCATACTGCCTTTCAATCACCAACTCATCCTGGCTGTTGGCCGAGTGAACTGGACAGTGGAGAAAGAGTCATTCAGATTCCAGAGCACAGAGCTCCTCTCTCCTTAATTAACACTAACAGCATATGGGCCACAGGCGATTCTCAGAGTGCTTTGCCGACCTAATTTTGCTTTTAGCGTTCAGTGCCAGAAATACCTGGAAAATTATCTACTAATTATCTCGAATTATCTATGTAGGTTCATGTCGAAAGACCAGCACATCTAATTACAAGCCCCCTTGCTATTTACCACTAAAGAGTGGGTTTAGCTGAGAAATTCTCCAAAAGCATCTGCACTAAAGGCTGATAATTATGTGCTTTGCGTTCTTCAAGGGAGTCCTTTTCAGTATCAACAACAAACAGTCACTCAAGTGAGTCAATCAAAGGGCTTTCCCAGCAGGTGAGCTGTAAGCAGTAATTACACCTGGACATTCCCAGTGTTTTCTTGGCTGGACAATTAGCAAACAGTCTGATAACTTACCTGACCCACCCCGGGGACTAGGAATGCCCTCACCACCTAACAAAACAGCTTGTCACCTTCTCTCTCAGTGCCCAGAACTGAAATAAAAGTTGACTTTACAATCAGTTGGCATCGCATCTTACTCAGTATTTGATTCGGAACATGGAGAAATATAAAAAAATGTAAGTAAAGATTGTTGTATTGATGATTGAATTTATGTGGCCGTGATGTCCAGTAACTACCATCACATGCAAATATCACCTCTTCACCCTATCCCGCTGGAGCATTCTGGAAGAGCAGCTAATAAAATGAAGCATCCTTAAGTTCCCAGAGAAAACAGGCCATCATATTTTCTTTTTTCTTTGAATTTTAAAGCAATTACAACTATTGGGAAACTTGAGAAGCTTTGTTCAAATAACTATTTTTCTAAAACCATTTGACAGAAACCTAGCGACACACAATTCCTTATCATACTTGAATACTGTGTGGCACATTTTTATAAAAGGACCTCTTGCTACATAATGGCATGTAACCAGCAAAATTCAGAAGCCAGCACCCCACACTGCTGACTTCTGTTCTCATGCTCTAAATTCCACCAATGCTTCCCACACTCTCAGTCCATTTCAGAATGGTATGCTGCATTTATTCACCATGGGCTCATTTTTGACCTTTAATCAAAAGGAAATTACTTAACAACACGGAGATACTACTGTTGAACAAAGTTAGTCTAGTGGATACCCCTTCTGAATTGCTACATCACCTGCAAGCTGTAATGATAATTTTAATTTTGATGGACGGCACTTAAATATCTAAAGAAGTACTAATCCTTTTATTAATGGTGGTGGTAAAGAGAATCTCAGGCTTTTAGAAGCTCTCCTTGTGCAAAGACCAATAAGTAGCTACACTGGCTCAGAAAAGCAAAGGAATTTGCTGTCAAAGTAAGAAAAGATCATGACAGCTGGGGGACAATGCACTTCTCAGCAGAATTGCAGGTGTTAACAACTGGGAGCACTGAGTAGGACCTGGTCTTAGTTATTTTTATCATCATGCAGACACCCACATCTTAAAGGAAGACAGATTGATTTCGACTGACAGTTTGTAAAGGATTCAGTCCATACTCAGCTGGCTCTAAGGCAGGGTGGCATGCAGAGGGGCCTGGTAGAGGAGAAGCAGCTCATGGCAGGGCAGCAGGAAGCACAGAGAGCGATCAAGGGAGGAGGAGGGAGACAGATCCTTCCAGGCCACGCCCCACTGACCACTTCCTCCACCAGGCTCCACCTCTCAACATCACATTCAGCTATGAGCTCGTCTGTGGACTAATGCACTTAAGAGTATCACGCCCCATGACCCATTCACTGCCCTAAATCCCAATCTATGAGCATGTGAGGCTTTGGGAGACATCTAGACATAAATCATAACAGACATGCTGGCCCCTCTGTGTCAATGGAGGAGCCCTGGATCTCCAGCTCCTGGAATAATTTTGCCTTTCTCCTGCCCACTCTGTTCTCAGACCTCCAGACAAGGGCGATGACTCACTGAATGGGAATTCCATCTGGATGTCCAACAGCATCTCCCATAGAGAAAATTTCGACAGCACCTTTGACATCCACCACCCATTCTCAGAATCTGTCTCTGTCACAGAAGTCCTAGAGTTTTGCAAGTCAAGTCCCGAGAGCTAAACCATCTTTGGAAGTCACCTGTTCCTCACCCAGGAGTGAGTGCTGCTTCCTTCCAGAAAATTTTCTTACTCTTTCCACTTCTCTCTGTCCCCATTCATAACCCAATATCCAAGCCAACCCGGATTCTTACCAGGATGTCTGTCATCATGTCTCAGCTGCCCTCTCTCATCTGCCTACAGTGTATTCTATGTTCAACAGGCGAAGTACCTGTGCAAAATGTATATGCAATCATGCTGTTTGTGACTTATAACCAGCAGAAGGCTCCCTACCACATGTATAATGAAACCAAAACTTCAGGCTCTCACATGGCAGAGACTGATGGTGGTGACTGTCCACTTCCCATTATCCTAATATCTTGTTATCAGAGGACCTTTTGTTCTAAAGATTTTTAAAAAGAATCATTTAGAACAAAAGATAAAACAAAGAAAAACAATCAAAACAAAGAAAAACTAATTTCCAAATTTTATTCTACCTAAATGTGGCCAGCTTTGTCAAATAGCTCTACCCAATGGTATAAAATTCTGTTAAAAAATTACAGGAGAATTTTCACTCTCCTGATGCAAAATTTATCTCAGCTAGGATGGACTAATAATATATTTTTCTTTGTTTCCTGTCTAGGAAACAATTGTGATGGTGGCAGCTGCAGCAGCCGTTTTGAAGCTATGAAGTAAAAATATAAAAGCGCATTCCTAAAAACTTGGTATCGTTAAACTCCAACAACTACCTGCCTCCACCTTCAGAGTTCCATTACTTGGCAAAACTAACCCAATATATATTTAGTGTAGCCAATTCTGTTCCTCACAGGTAAACACCATGAATACATCTGTAGGGAGCCCTGCGTGTTCCCCTCCCCTGCCCAGCTCTCTGTTTTCACTGTGTCCCTGAGCGGGCTCTTCGTGAAGCTGTGAGGGGGAACTGAGAGTGCAGTGGACAACCCAGGAAGTTATGAGGCCAGGAACATGGAAGAACTGTTGAGCAAAGCCACAGGCAGTGAGCAGAGCCCCCCAAGAGGTCATGAGGGCAGCAACAGGCAATGCCACAGGGATGGAGCCACCCAGGCCCTTCAGAGCTCCTATCTCACCACAACTTGGCCCAAGGGCTGGTCCCAGAGCTATGGGATTTAATGTGTGCCCTGGGCTTTAGTTTTGCCTTCATTCCATTCATTGCTATCCCCCGTTCCGCCCTGTTGGAATGGGACTGTTTACCCTGCAGCATTGTACATTGGCAGCATTTAACTTTCTTTTTTGATTTTTACAGGGGCTCACAGCTCAGTTGCCATGCTTCTCAGAGGACTTTGGACTTTTCAGCAGTGCTGTAACTTTTAAAACATTGTTGATTCTTCAAGATGGACTAAATGCATTTGTATAAAGAGACAGACATGGGTCTTTTGGGGGTCATGGGTGGAATGTTATAGTTTAGGTCTAAGATGTCCCCCAAAATATTATTGTGTGTGGAAGCTGACTGGATCATGGGAGCACTATCCTCATCAGTGGATTCATTCACTAATGGATCCATAGCCAAATGCACTGTTAGGGGGTGAGGCCTGGTCAGAAAAAGCACGTCAGGGGGGCTGTGTCCAGGGAGGGTGCGACTCCCTCCCCAGCTCCTCTCTTTACTCTCTGCTTCCTGGCCGCCATGATGTGAGCAGCTCTCCTCCCCTAGGTCCTTCCACCCTGTCCCTCCTACCTCAGAGCCAGCTGACTATGGGCTGAAACTCAAAAACCAAAAGCCAAAATAACCTTTTCCTCCTTTGTGAGTGATGGGAATTGTGGCTCAGTGACAAGAAAGCTATTGAGACAGCATATTAGGCCTCAAGCATTCTCTAGTTGTAGTCTCTCTTACAGGGGAAGAAAAGCCAAAAGGGAAGATTGCTTGAGGAGAATGAGATGAATATGCCTTGTTTGCTTTGATAGTCTGTTTTTGTTGTTGATGTTCTTATTCATTATGTTTTTGGGTATTCTAGATTCTTTAGGGAGATTTCTGAAAAGAGAAGAAGCCAGCAAATTTTTATTTCACTGATTGTTTTTGGACAAAACTTTATCCATGTGACATCTCTAGTAAACTCCTTTTAAGATTTTTAAATTATTGCATTTGCATCCATTATTTTATTAATATTAATATATCAATATTTAAATATATATTTCACTTCAGTCTTTTATATTCTAGTCATTTTAAGCATTGTAGTCCTTATTTTTTATGCTTTTAAAACATTTTGCCTATTTTGAAAATGAATGATTAGTTCTTTTATTATATTCCTAATTTTAAATTACATATATATGTCCAATTTCCATTTTAAATGTTCTCAAAACCTTACATGTCTAAAGTTCTTTGTTGTATTGCCATAATATTTTCATATTTCACCTATTTTTTCTCTTCAACACCTGTGTAATTTAATAATTAGCTTAATGGTTTTCAAATGCATAAAAAACATGTTACAGGCTTTGAGGCTGAGAACCACAATATGAATTCAGAATACAGATTTTTCTTTTATTGTCTAATTCATAGTTGTCTTAGTTGCTTTTCTTGTTGCTGAGACAAAATACCCAACACCCAAAGTTAAAGGAGGAAAGGTTAATTTAGCTAATACTTCATAGAAGTTTCAGTCCATAATCAACTGGCTTCAAGCATAGCACATGTCTGAGGGGCCACAGTTCATGGTGGAAGGAGGTTAGCAAAAGCAACAAGAGACCTTAACAGCGTCTTTCTGCCCCTTTTTTATTCTATCCAGACTATTCAGCGCAGGTAGCACTCACAGCCTTATTCCTAGTGCCCTTAAGCCAAGCACTGCACCATGAATCAGTTCCAGCATCACACACTCTAGATCCAGCTACCTCCACAAAAAACCCACTTCATTCCCATGAGGTGTTGGGGGAACATCTAAACACAAGCCATAACAATAATGTATTTGAAAATATACCCAAGTGTGCATTATTTATTGACTAAATATTGTTTACACACTTTCAGGTAAAGCTCGTTGATTATGCTATGTATAACTTTTATACATTTCTTGTTTTTGTTTTCTCAGTATGCCTATCCGAGTTCATTAAAAAAGTAGTTAAGATGCATAGTTTACCCTTTTCCTCTATCCTATCTATTGAATTTAAAATGTCAAAGTTATATCTTAAGTACACTTATGTTGAACATTTTCAAATGTTCTGCTTAGTTCTTTTTGAGCATATAAAATTGGATGTTCTCTGCTTTGCCCTTAAAATGATTAAAAGAAATAATAAACAGTTGATATAAGATAATGTCCCAAAACCAGAAGAATCAAGCTACAAATTAATGTGTCCATTTTGCTATTTATTTATTTATCTATTCTATTTTGTTTTTGTTGGGGATTGAGCCTAGGGCCGTTTTCCTGCTAAGCACACTCTTCTCCTGAGCTATATATAGCTCAGCTTCTATTTATTTTAAATTTGACTGCATCATAGCAAGTTACGAGGGTGCTCTAGAACCACAAAACAAAAGAAGCCAGAAAGTAAGCATCAAAACTACAGGATGTGAGAATACACACACATGTGTGTGCACTAAGCAGAGAAAAGTTGAACAATAAAACAATACTTTAAGTGCCATGGGGTTTCACACAAATGCAGATATGAGAAATCTCATGATGCAGAGCTTCAAACACTCATGATGATACCAGGCAAAAGAAAAGGGAGAAGGAGAGTTGGGGCCCCTCACTCTAAGAAAAACAGGAAGAAGATGAAAGTCAGAAATTAAGTCTAAAGTATAATGTGCTTGAGGGATGGTGTATGCAGCTGAAAGCATAGTATTAGAAATACATGATATGATCACACAGCTAAGAAAATTGAACAGAATTAGGAATGTCCTCAATATAGAGAAGGAAAGAACATGGCTGTGCACAAAGAGGGTCCAGCAGAAGTATAACTGCCACCCCCTTCCCTCACCTTTCATTTCAATGAAGGAGAAAACAAACAGTAAGACAGAATTAGTATTTAATACTTTAACAAGCATACACACACTCTCTTGAAATAAATGAAAACTTGAGTTGGCATACTGGGAGAAATCCACCATCTTCCAGGAAATTTTGGCTCAGAAATATTAATTCTAAAATATATTGTAATGAAAAGGTTAAACCTCATAAATTGTGCAGTACATGAATCTCCAAGTATAAAGTCCAAGTCATGTAAAAGGAAAGAAAATCAAATTGGATTCTTAGCTGCAAAAGCGAAAATGAGAAAACAATAGAGCATGAAACAGGGCGCTTGTCAAGAAAATAAAAGCGCATTCACTCAGTATAATAGTGCCTTAGTGAAAATATAAGAGTATGATTGAGTGATATTCACAATATATTTAGGTCAATTAAAAAGTTAGTTACACAATAATATACCTATTTATATATTTTATATAAGAAGGTATGTTAAAAATAAATTTACTTTGTAGAAAGAAAGAGTAACAGTACAAACTCATGCAGATAGAAATCTTATGCAGAGAGTTGGGTAATTAGGGACTGATGTAATACATCTGTAAGTAGTATTTTTAACACGGTTTGACATTTGGATCCTGTCAATGTTTCACATATTAACATATGAAATAAAATTTAATAAACATTACTCATTAAATATAATGAAAATAAACTTACTTGTATATTAAATGCCTAACATTACCACATAGATAAAATAACTATATTTATTTTTACTTTATGATAGTAAATGCTCAATATGATATGTTTCAAAGAATAAAGATACTGAAAATATATCATCAAATTCACTCAGTCATTCTATTTTTAGTGATGATAATGGTTCCATAACTTTGACTATGTAGATTGTAAGAGAGACAAATATGAAAAAATGTTAATGATATTATGAGGAAGAATTTCAGTATATGAAAAATAGATAAAAATGGACAGTCAAAACAGATAAGAAAAATGCCTTCTAATATTAAATTTAGTTTGGATATCTGGTTTGATCATTAATTTTTTAAAATATACTTTTCCTAGCTCCTGCTATGGAAGCACTTTAGAAACAATGGTTGCGACCAGCACATCTAAACGCCCTGGCTGTGCCTGCAGTGCCGGTCATCCTGGAAAGGGCCGCCATTCTCTGACAGAGCCAATTCAGCTCTGCAGTGAGGAAAGCACCCAGGGATGGAAGGTCAATGGGACCAAGGCAAAGAATGTATGAATAACAGAGGGGCTCAGCCTGGCTAAACTGGGGCAACACTGGTGTCAGCCAAAAACAATGACTTCAACTGAGAAGAGTATGTTGAGAAAAAAATCTGGTCATTCCTCAAGTGAATATGGGGGAGAAACAGGCACACTCATTAAATATGTCAATACAGGTGATCCTTACGTCAGCGCCATGGCCTGAAGAGCTTACCTGGCAAGGGTTAATTCCTTCCTCAGAGCCCTAAGGTGGAAGTGTAGACAACTCTGGCTGATGAGGCAAAGTGTTCTTTCCACAATAGTGCCAATTAGTAAATACAGAAGCAATGATATAATTAAAGATAATTTGGTAACCCTCCAGTGAAACTGTTGATTTAGACAGTGCCGCCAATGGATGTTAAATATCACAGATGAGAGGCTGTCACCACCTTACCAAGTGATTCCATTTAGCTTCACTTGAAACACGGCCACCTGACACCAGGCATTGCCTGATGTGCAGAAATGTCAAGTTCATAACATCACACAGGAGCTCTTCTGGCTAAAAATATCCACTGTGCATGTGAACCTAACCTTCACTGTCTGGGAAATCTAGAAGCTGGAAAAACAAGTTGAGCAAGTTAAATGGTACGATGAAGAAGCAGTCTGACAAATGCAGACCACAGGGCACTAAAAACAATCACCGTTGTCGCTTCAAAAGTCAGGGTCCTGGCGAAAACACTAGAAGTCTTTGAGGAGAAGAAAGCTCTTCTAAACTTCTAAAACAGGGAGATATAACAATACAATGGACAGACATGATTCTGAGTTTGATAAAACCAGTTTTAAGATATTTTGGGGAAAAAGTACAGTAAGTTTGCAAAAGGTTTGGGACCAAGTGATATTAGAGAAATATAATAATTCTGTCTACTCCGATAATGGTATATTGGGTACAGTTGGGGAGGTGGGTCCAGCAAATTGTTTATATATTTATAGGTCTTGAATATCTAATTATCTACTGTCTAAGTAAACTTAAATGGAGATAAATTTAAAAAGTTAAAAAGATAAAAATAAGGATGCGGCAAAATATTTATTCCTGAACAATTGTTATATCCATTTTTACTTAATTACTTTTGATATTTTTAATAATAAAAATTACAAATAAAGACTTTCTGGTTCAGAATAGAATTTTAGGGCTACTGAATTATAATTTTTAAAGATTTGGTATGAACAAAATCTTTTTAGGTTTCAAGATTATTTGAATAGGAAATATAATTATAGTAAAAGTTATTTATATTTTCCAAGTTAAAATGACAGAAATTACCCTTTTAAAAGATTCTATTTATGTTACAAGATTATTTATGTCATAAATTTCTGCAAGTAAGCCATGTAAAACCCATTCTCACCTCAGTAATTTTTGCTGTAAACTCTAGAAAATGATAGATCCCCCATCTTCAAGATTTGTCCTTCTTATCTTCAGATTTTTTTTGGTCCTTTTTGACTGGGTTATTTATTCCTAGAGGTAAATTCATCTGTTTTCAATCCAAACAATTTCTTCTACAAGTGTTGCCTCCCCGTGTTTGTTAAGTTGGAGTGGGTTCCTAGAATAGAAACAACTGGTGTGTCCGGGTGCGTGTGTGTGTGAGTGTACGTGTGTGTGTGTGTGTGTGTGTGTTCACAGGCACACTCAGCACTCCTGACATCTGAGTCCCGGCAGTGAGTGAGTGACACCTGGCGCCAGGGAGCTGACCTTCATGCCGCATGGAGCCATGTACTTCCTGCCTCTCCTCAGGGTCTCCAGTTGTGGCCATGTAATCAGAAACACTTACACTGTGTAGGTGAAGGCAGCTGAGATCCGCTGGAACAATGGAAGTGACATTAATAACATTAAATGTCATAACTCTTGACAACCTGATGCAAATGAGCACCTTACGAAGCAAGCAAAAAAAAAAAACTCTGAATATATCTTTTCTTTAAAGTACATTCAGTATTCAAAAAAAAAAAACTGTTCAGCCAAGATGGAAGCCAGGAATCTAATTTTGGTGACCTCAGCTACATTCCTGCAGGCACAAATTAGTCACCTTTCCAGCTGTAATCATCTCAGTATATGATGTAGAGCCATTTTGATACTGAGAACTATGCAAATGCTTCTTTTATTTATGCCTCTCCCTTTGGATCTGGCCTCCACTTTTCCTTAATCTTGCATTATTTCTTCCATGCTGATGTGACTGACAGGCAGGAGGGACTGGCTAAACCCTCCCAGGCTCCCTCCCACCCTTCTCTGTTCCTGCAGAATCATAACAAAGGTGCTTTCAGCCCTTAAGGAAGGGAGCCCTAGCATTCCTTCCCTGTTGTCACAACAGATTTCACAGCCCTGTCTGATGTGGTATCCCCGGCCTTGTCAGGGGTGCCATCATTTAGAAAGGTACACAGCACTTTGAAAGGATTAGATGATAAAACACAACTCAATCTTTTATAAAAGAGAGGCAGCCAGAGAGGGAGGGAGAGAAATGTCAGATGTTTCGGAGCAATTGGACAAAAAAGAGCATACAAAGAGAAGTGGCAAATGGAGGGAAGCCTTGTCGCTGTGAAGCAGAGGTAGGCGAGGAAGGCTTTTGACAAATATTTACTGCCACCGAGGACATGTCGCAGTGAAGACCTGTAAGCAGTTAGGACAGGGTTTCAAGTAGACGGAAGAAGGCTGAATCGGGAAATCGCTGGACATGTCCATCATGTCTAACTCCTTCTTTAATCCCAACACAGGAGGAAAAAATGAAAGCCATCGTCCCTCGCCTTTGTGATGAAAGAAAATAGAAGTTAAATAGTCCAGGAAGAACCAAAGCTGAGTGTGCTGGGTCAACAGTTTGTGGGGCGGAATTCTATGCCTCTAATCCAAGGAACCTCCTGGACCCCAAGAGCACAGGGTCCTGGGACCTGTGTTCCCTCCCAGCTCCTCTTCAGAGCTGGCATCAGCAGCCCTGAGAGTCTCCATGGTTTACCTGGGACCGCAGAGCCGGTTATCTGGGCAGACTGCAGGCAGGTCAGTTGCCCGTGACTGTCTGTAAACCCATGCAGCAGCTAGATATCTGCCACTGGAGGCCTCGAGCCCTTCAGAAAGAGCAAGTCCTCTCTTCCTCTCAGTATCATGCTTGCTCCCACCCGAATGACATTATAACAGGAAACTCTTTTTCTCAGAATAACAATATACAAAGTCAGCCATGCACAAGTTTTAGAGGTAATATAAAATATGTACAAACCTACTGACATATTTCATAAGCAATCAGTCAATGAAACCCTATACAGTCGACTGCCTTACACAAAACAGCATTTACTTGGGTAAAACTGTACACATTTTTAGCATTTACTACAGATGGGGTCAGCAAGAAAAGCCAGAAAGTGGCAATTCTGGAATAAGAATGAGTCAGTACCAACAGCAAGCGTGTGGTACGGGTGGTTAGGGTGATGCTTACTCCAAGGCAATGAAAAGCCAGCACTGAGCAGCCTACTGGAGGAACCCAGAGAACTGAGTCAGTCTGAGTGTGAAGCACTTGGCATCTGAACTTCACTGGCCAAGGTCTAGCACACACTTGAGTAAACGGAAATTTCACTCCATTTCTTGTGCTTAGGTTCAGAGTTAGATGTGTGTCTACATAGAAGCCACGAGACAGGAGAGAGCCGAGGGAAAAAGAACTGTTATCATTGTAAATGCTGCTTCTATTGCTGTTTTGGAGCTTGAGATCAGTATGAAGTCATGGCTAGGATCTCTCTCTCTCTCTCTCTCTCTCTCTCTCTCTCTCTCTCTCTCTCTTTCACACACACACACACAAAGAGACAGAGAGACAGAGAGAGAGAGAGGAAGGGAGAGGGAGAGAGAGATATACGGAAACCATTCAGGACATGTGTGGACATGAGGTTGTATATGTTTAGTTGGTGTGAAGGGGCTGACACCTCAGTAACAACAAGCACCCAGTACCCAGGTCTTGTGTTCTAAATACCGTTCTCCAATGAAAAGGTCTAGGACTTTGTGAAAACAAATGCTTATTCAAGGTTGAAACAGAGGGAGAGAGAGAGAGAGAGAGAGAGAGAGAGAGAAGGGGGAGGGAGGGAATTCAAAAGGAACTTGACTTCATCAGCTGGGATTCTAACAAGTTACCTGGTGTAGGTGTGCCTGGGCTATCACACCAGTGTTTATCTTCCTGGTTAGTCTTTTGGGAGGAGCACATCCAGGCCCAGGGCTGCAGCCCCCATGAGCAATGGAGCCCAGGTTCTCAGTAGGAGGCTGTGCCTGCAGAGGGGAGGGGAAGGTGCCCACAGACGGGGGCTGGGATGGAGGATGAGAATTAACTACAGAATTCAAGTGTGCAGGCCCAGGAAACTGTCCTTTAAATTTAACAAACCTTTTAAAGTGTGGTTTTTTTCGTTTTGTTTTGCTGAATATGATAAATATGCTCATTTTGACAAGTGTTTGAGCAATAACAACTAAAGCTATAAGGAAATGGTATTTAAGCCTAATTGAACATGTTACAACTCTCCCTACAACACAAATCTGACTGGGCGGGATGGACACAGAAGAGCTGGGACTTTGGAAAGGGATAATCTTGTATTTCAGAGCATTTATGAATACAGTGGTACCTCGGCTCATGTGCTTAATTTGTTCCATATTCTGGGGAAGACAGCTAAAGTCATGTTCGTCACCTGACGGGGAGTTTGAAAAGGGAAGCAAAATTTTGCCTAACACTCCTGTTCATGATCTGAATTATTTGTGAACAGAGACGTTTGTGAACCAAGGTATTACTGTACAAAGACAAACAAGAAAACACGTTCACATTTGTGCAAATGATCATGAGTGTGTCAGACACGGAAGTCCTGCTGGTGTGAATGAGGTGTTGGATCCTTGCGTCTCAGACTCTCAGACACAGGTGCACAGGGGACAAGGACAGGGGAGTTTCCTGGGAGTGTGAGGAAGAAGAGACCCAGGCCCTCTCTCCACAGCCCGGCAGGAGTCCTCATGGCACCTACGACTCATTCCCTTGTTTTCCCCTGAGGTCCCCATTTTGAGAACATCTGAAGGCAAAGAAAGACACGCAGTCTGATGAACCACCACAGTTTTGCTCCTGGGCAAGTCCTTTACTCTAACGGGAGCTTCCTGGGGGACTGGTGAGCCTGGAAGTCGCCCACAGGCCTCTGAGGAGTGGAAGACTGCAGCGCCCGATGCTACCTGAGGCTCAGCACAGAGCAGGGGCCCCTCTATGTCAAAGCCCACCAGAGACAGACCCCTGATCACAGCACAACACAGGTATTGAGCACAGGATGTGGCGCACACGTGCGTCTGAAAGTACAAATGTGTCTTAGCATGTCTTAGCCCATGCTTTATGTGCTGCTCACCCTGCAGGCCCTTTGTCACAGACAGCACAGCATGTACATTTAAATTATGTTAGATTTATGCAAACTTAAGCAATAGATTGAGCTGGATTATTCACTTAAACCCATGACCTATATGACCATGGCAAGTTTACAACCAATATCATAGTTTATATATTTCTACTGCATTTAAAGAATTCAAGCATGACCTCTTTGTGGGAAGACAAATGAGTGTCACGTTTGATGATGTCCGAAAACCTGCAAGTTGGTGTGAACAGATTTTCATTTTTCTCTTTATCCCTCACAGCAGACATTCACAGCTCCAAGGAGAGGGGTCAGAGGCACCTCAGTTTCTATGGCAGGGTTTTAACAGATTAGAAATTACAAATCTTTTAGGTACCTTCTTACCGCAAATGCTCTGTTACTGAGGATTTTAAGTTACTTCCACCCAAATCCCAACACAAGTCTCTGCAGTCACTGGAAATAGGGGCTCATTCATAAACACTTCATTCAGACTCAATTTGTCTGAGCTGGAGGGCGGAGTTCGGGCTTGGGAGGGAGGCTTCCTTAAATTCATTCAGCAGCTGGGGAGGTTTCCCACCAGACACCACAACAGGGAGAAAGTCTTCCTTGCTTACAGAAATAGAGGGAGGGCTGGTTATTTAATTCCAATACAATGACATCTGTATCTCACAGTGCAGGAAGGTGATTTACCTGCTTCTAGTTGTGTAGGTGATTTGGTTCTAAACAGGATTCAAGCGATGTCCTGCTGTCCCTTTCCTGGAAGGAAGGGTCCAGGCTGGAACACAGCTCCCCGGAATTATGTGATCATCTCCTGCAGCTGCGCGGGACAGGTGCAAGGCGAGCATCACAGAGTGAGCGCAGTGCTACCAGCAACTGGGCTTGACGGGGTGGAGGATTTAGTGCCAAGACAGCTAGCCTGGGGCCATGGCAAGGGAGTTATTAAAACCAGCTCAGGGGCGAGCAGGGGCTCTGGAGAGGGCACACTGTCCAAAAGCAGGACTGAAGGCAGGTGGGTTTTCTCCGAGGCTGGTGGCAGCAATTACCCACGGCAGCCTAGAGCGCGCCAGGGGCGTCCACCAAAGCTGCAGCCGCTCACTTCCTAGAACATGTTGTAATGTCTGTTTATCATAGAGTTTAATTCCCCAATGGAGGGAACAAAGGCGAGTATCCAAATAGAGCAAATGTTTTTGACACTAGCAACTGAAGCAA